AAAAAAAAATGTTGTGAGAAATTGTAAGCGGAACAATAGCTATCCTCACCGAGAGAAAACATTTCATTCAGACAGCTTCTCTATCCTAATAGACTGGAACTATTTGTGCTCAACTCCACATACTATATCCTCTTTGCTAGTGGTGAATTTTCTAATAATGGTATGTTCATCCACTTCACAATTTTATACGATTCGGTCTAATTTCTTCGGTACAGAGTTAGCCGACCACCAGTGTCAACGCTTTTGTTCCTATGGTAGCGAGATGCAGCACGTTAAAGGCACAGTTCACGATAAAAATGGTTTCTGAGATTTTCCACTAGAATGAATCTGTGGTCCCTAAGAATAGTAAATGGGCCGTTGTTGGGCCGAAAAACGGCCTAGGGAGGGCTTACTAAGAGCTCCAAAACCGCTCTGGACGACACAGACACTCAAAGTGGCCGTGTTATGCCAGCCTTGTTATAACTACACCATTCACATGGCGACACAAATAGTACGCTTGAATGAGTTGCATCCAAACTGATCTTTAGTACAACCCCTTTCTCGCTACTTTTTTGGNGTTTTATCTCTCTCACTTATAAAGTAGTAACTTGATGTGTCGGTTTGTCGGTTTGTCTCTCTGTCCGTCCGTGAAATTTATGATTACGATAAAAGTAGTGATAAGGATAACCCAGCCCTACTCGACATCCACCTCTTATATATAAGGCAGTAACTCGGTGGGTAGGTTAATGGAGTAGAGTGAGTACTGCGAAGCGAATTGAGTAATGAATGAAGTGGCCTTCAAAACCGTGATTTCGATTTGTACTGGCATCGCGCTATGTATGTCTATAAAAAAATAGGAGGTGATAATGTACTAAGGAGACCTCCTTTTTTTTAACATTGAGCGCTAGAGAGCAGATAAGGAGGTTGGCATATTTCTGCTCATCAACGTTTCTTAGCCGAGAGCATACAGTTTTTCACCTGAAACTCAGGAGGCGAGGAGCACCGAGGAGGGTGAGTCAATTGAAGGTTCAACTCATACCGCATCCTAGCTTTTTACTCGAAGTAATCATCTCACCCTCATTTCGGTCCTCCTCCCCTCCTGAGGCTTAGGTTGAAACTATCTTCTTTCGCCTAGCACTGTTTCTAAGTAAGCACAGGTAAGGTCGGCTATCCCTCCTCTGCACTCTTGACCTCAGTGATGGATGAAAGCGATGCCCCCCCCCCCTAACTACATTTTTAACTACTTTGTAAAGGAAACGGATGAGGCACGGCGTAAGCCGTTCGACCCGTCTGGTTTTTTTTAGAAGCCATTGGTTTTCGCCTTTTCTTCGCCAGCCTCGCCCTATGCTGCATCATGGCTTCCGTTTTTTCACTCCAAATAGATACCTCAGAATTATCGTGAACTGGGCTTCTAAGCAATACTTGCCAATCACTGCTCGATGGAACTTATATTTTGCACGCATTCAAATGTTTCGCCGATGATATTATCGTTCTCTTCGTTCTTTTACGCTCCTCCGCTACGCACTTTGTTTGCAGGCTGTTTGCAGGGTTTGCACCAGTGAAATGAGTGCTTTTACTTGATGGGACGCACCTCTACTTTTTTTGCACATTGCTATTCTTACATTCATAGCTTTAACTGCCGGAAAATGGTGCAAAAGCTTTCGAGAAAGCAAGTAGAGGCAATAATTTCTTTGGAAGCGAGTATCGTTTCTTATGTGACCTCCCGAATAGTGCTGCTTTAAAAGACTACCGTGATGGAATTTGCATGGATTTCATTTCGGAAAGGATTCCGCGGTAGTTTCCACTGGTTTGCACCTACTTCGTTCATGACGGCGTTTTTTCGGGGCACGGAACTTACGTGCGTCCGAGCATGCGCGCGGCACATCGCGTGGCGAAGTACGTGGCGATTTGAACGACTTTAGCGCCTATCATTGGGTCCCAAATTTGAAGTGGAGTAGATCAGTGGGATCAGCTAACCACACTAAACTACTGTACTTCAAGTTTGTGCCCCGATAATAAGCGCCAGAGTTGTTCGAATTGCCACGAACTTCGCCGCGCAATTTGCCGCGCACATCCTCGGACGCACGTATGTACCCATACCCGTTTTTCAGATAGCGTTTACACAATGATTGCACCCTCAAAGATATCATCCCCATTTACGTACATTGGACTGGTTGAACACTGGAGCATTACAGAGATGCTCTACCACTCGGAAAACCGTTATGTTCTACCACCTACTTTTCTGCCAGCATACGTTAAAGGCACTGGAAGGATTGCAGACGAACATCCCTGTAAGAACCTTCATGGTTTCACAATAGGAGAGATTCTTTCTTATCAATCATGATTCTATCTAGAGTTTAGCGGCGGTCGACCAAACGACCGGCTGTTCTTAAAGATTCTATCTGTTGATAGAACCATGATAAAAACCTGGAATTGAATATTTGACGGTAAAGCAAAGGTGCATAAGGCTCTAGAGTTCATATATCTTTAGCGTTGGAGTCATTGGTTTCTGTTCTCTGAAAAGATTGGTTCTCGCTCGATTTGCACAATGATCCTGGGGTGGCGGATTTTGTCCCCAAATTTCAGCGATACTGGTTACGCGGTGGCAACCGCATCCTTCCACTGGGAACTCATAACTTTCCCTTCATAGCGGGAGACTCCGCGCGGTCGGGGACGGCGAGCGCGACGCCAATTTCGGGAAAAAGATACCACGTCCATGCTTCTGGAATGCGAACACCTCCCAAATCATAGCTTTGTTGATGCATCACGTGACTTTACAAACGCCATCTATCCCTTTATCCTCGCTCACTTTCCGTTAAAGACCTGAAAAAATTATCACTGCTATAATATCCAACAAAAGAACATCACATGGATTGGGACGTAGGTTATGTTTATTTTGTTCCACTTCAGAGGCTTCCTGTACTCCAAGACCATGTCACGTACGGTATATGCTTGGAGTTCCTTAATCGTAGTAAGAATACCTGAAATAAAACCTAAATTTATGAGTAAAAAGCTCAGATAGTTTTGTTTGTTGCGAATCTGGACATCTTTTCAAGTAGTCAAGGAACTCCAAGCGTATACCGTACGTGACATGGTCTTGGGGTACAGGAAGCCTCTGAAGTGTTTCTTTTGTATTTCTGAATTTTGTCTTGAATATTCTGAATCTGAGCGCCTACAATCACCGAAAAAAGAACCTCTGAGGCGCTTTTCGTACACATGCCCATGCGCACTCGTGCACTGACATACTCACACGTACAAACCAACAGACACATTTAACGAATTTCATATAGTAGGATCTTACCGTTACACACACTTGCTTTTCTGTTAAAAAATGCGGCTTTTCGCAATCACCCACAGAATCAATTTGCTCGCAAAGAAAACCACGTTTGAAGTCGTCTCTTCTGTCTGTATGTTCTCTTCAGATGGCGATAATGTAGAATCACTTACGACTATTGCGCTCAAAAAAACACACGGTGAGTTGTGGCTTGCACAAATTATTGGCTCAAACGAAAGCTTGAAGACTTGTGTAATGAGAGCGCAACTATCTTGTCTCCGAATTTCATGAAGCTGCACGTCATCAATTCTTCGGAAAATTCTGAACCACCTTGTTCTCGTATGGGAACAAGTGAGTCTTATTGGTTGCTCGCTAAAGTTTTAACCCTTTTTTGTGCGGTGTGTTTGGTTTGTACACGGTGACTATTTAACAAGGATGGGTGCGTGAAGACTGGGTGATTTACCCTTTTGAAACAATCAAGGCAAGGGTGGTTCAGAATCTTTATAAGAGCGAGTGAGAGCGTGAGCGGGTTGACCGTTCCCAACGCTTGGTAAAAGCAAGTATGCAAGTGACGGAGCCAGGACAAGCCTGACCCCACTGCGCCCCGCCCTACTTGATAGCGGGGGGCAAGGCGCTTACGTAATGGAAGGGGGTCGACAACGACGACACTATTTGCAAGTTTGATTAGGCTAAACACAAGAAGCCCCGTATCAGCGGTGTGACGGGTATTTATACCCAGCCGGTACGGGGTGGCAAACAATGGGGTTATCAAAGGGGAAGGCGGTGAGAAACAGTCTACATGGTTATCAAAGGTCACGGCGGTGAGAAACAGTGTACAGCTTCATCAAAGGTTACAGGGATGGCATTTATCAAAGGTTAAAAAGATCGCGCAGAGCGAGAAAACCTTATCTAAAAGTGTTATTACAGGAGTTCTAATGGTGCTAGCATGGACAATATTTCTATCCTCTGGAATTCTTTTTGCTCGCCAAAAACAAGGTCCCTGTCCATCGCATATGTTATTTGGTAAACAGTTGTGGTTTCAAGTGAGTTTTAACTGCAAATTTATTTTTTAGTTGTTCGATGAGGTTCCTGCCAGACTTCCGTTCTACCTCGACATTTATGCGTTTTCATTAAGTACGTTTTTGCTTGTGTATAGGTTACCAATCGGACCGCTGGCCTTTTGCGTTCACTCCCAATGCAGGCGACATCGCAGAATCGCTGCTTGTACCAGACGTCATCCATAGTTCCATTAAAGGCACCTTCTAACAACGTATTAAGTTTGATCAAGCCCTTCCCGATGACCTCATGTCACATGATTCACATCCGTCTAAAACTTCATATAAGTCATGTCTCCCAAAGTTATTAACAGAACTTGAGGCTCACAGCTGCTGACTCCGTCTAGATTAGAAGTAAACCTGAAAAAAACTGGGGTTCTAATTTTCATTTCAGTGTCATCGCACTCTAAATCTCATCGGCATCTTTGCTGCTGCAGTTGCTTTTTTGTGCATGTTCATCGCCAATAATGCGCGTTGGTCTGGACCATGGCCAGGACAAAGTTCGCAGATGGTAGGGACATCATAAGAATTGTGTCTTTCCTCCGGTCGAAGGTTAGATGTAAGACAATAAAAGCTTGATTTGCTTCCACATGAGGCTACTGTCCCGACAACGAAGGTTGAATGAGTGTTAGTGCTTTGTGAATACTAGGAACAGTTGAATCGAGTAAGCTACATGTCTTTGGTAGAACGTCTAATTCCCTTGAGTGAAGCTCAAGATTAGCCAATTGACGATAATGGCGTCCAACTCACTTACCTACTCATTCACACGACTCATACCCCACTATAACTGGGGTATGAGAAAGTGGCACTGTCGCACCGTCGGGGCCATATCGTATCGGTGGTTGCTCGGCAGGACGACACAGGCAGCGTGAGCTATCTTCTGCCCGCGCGCAATGCTCGTGTCCATCTGTCATACGGACATGGTAGGCTTAGGCTGCCCTAGTCCCACTTGCGTCCTCCTACGGCCCACTACGGCCCACTGCAGTTTTGGTTTGATGTGGTCAGCTCTTTGCGTAATTTTAGCAATTGAAACCTCGTCCAATTACCCATTCTATGTCATTTTCCTCATGGTAATCTCTTACATAACCCTTTTCTCCACTTTTGAGCAGCATATTTTCGCAAAACGGGCGAATTTTCTCGCTTCCTTCACCCCCGATGCACTATCCACAACCAAAACTTCCGCTTCTCGACTTAAAAAGGTTGCCTCAAAATTATCGTGAACGGTGCTTTTGAAGCAGTCCACGCTATGACTGCCGCAATCTGCATCAGGAAGTGGAATGTAGGGAAAAATGTATTGCAAACTAGTCATGACAAGACCAATTCCTCGTTTAAAATACTAGAACCACTGAGACAGGCTGAAATATGAAAGCAACTCTTGCAAGTGTAGGAATTTCCAATAGTTTGTAACAGAATCTATGAGAAGTCGTTAGAGCAAGACTTTTCGGAGCGTTTCAGTCGAATGAACTTGCTTATCTTAGAGCATGATAATTCAACAAAGGAAGGGGAACAGCTACGGTGGTGGAAAAAGGCGGCTGATAGGAACGGATTACCTAAAAAAATGCCATAAAATTCTTTCTCTGAATGTTATGAAGCAGGGCGACTCTCTGATGGTCTTTGGTTCATGACTGAACCACAAAAACCAAAATCCAAAAGTGTAAATTTCCTAGTTTATCATTGTTGATTATGCAGTCGTAAAGTTTGTAACATTTTAGAATTGGCGCTGGGGTTCGATACATGCACTGCTGGGCCTGATTGCTTGCCTTCTTGCGTTTATCCAGCCTCTTGACGCAATGCTCAGGTAAGCCCATCGAGTTCATAAATGTAAGACTTCTCTCCTTTTGTAGTGTTATATTTCCTTTTTATTGCTTGATTCCCTTCTAACCTCTTCGATTCATCATAATCGGGTTCCATCTACCGCCACACGAAAGTGACCCCGCTAGCGCAATCGTGTTTCGTGGATTAAACCTCGTTGTCAGTTTTCTAACGTTCCTGTAAGAGACTCCAGAAATGCTTCGGGGAAAAGGACCTTCCATAAGTCTTCCAGATCTTCTATGACAAGAAAACCTTCGTTTGTGACACATCTGAGGAGGGGGCGGAGAGGGGGGGGGGGGGAATGAGCGATGTAGTGGATGTACACGGTGCTACATGTATATTTCCGGCTTCCGTTGCTCTGTAATTTTCTCCGTAAAGTTGTCATATGCAGTAGGTGCTATGCATTACTTGTCTATATGTTTACAGATGTCATCCTGGTCATCCCCAAAGGACAACATTTAATGTAGTTCATGGTGTAATCGGAGCATTGGCTTGGGTCTGCGCAGGTGTGATTTTACGACTTAATTTGTAGTTTTTTTCAGTTATTCACTTGTCAAAATTGCCATTTATTCGAGAACTACATACCTAAAACACTTTCAATTTCAATAATTTCATAAGTAAATTATTTAGTACAGAGTGAGGATGAGTTAAGTATTAAGTAGAGAGCGTAGATGAGCTCAGCAGCGTTCGAGCGAGCTCAGCATCGCTGACCAACGCTTCTACGGTGCATCTCAGTCGTCAGCTTACAGGAATAGTACCAGCAGAATCACTCAGGCTCATGTAAATACCCACGAGATGAGATGTCTAAATGTTGTACAATGGCCATGCCGTACCATTAGAACGTCGCGTTTTCTTGCAGTTGGATGTTTAAAGGCACAGTTCACGATAGTTTTAAGATACCCGTTTTAATTCGGAAAGCGGGAAGTGTAGATTGGGAATAGTTCATCGGCAGGGAAGAAAGCGAGGAATTCACCGACTTGGAGAAAAATATGCCTCTTCAAAAAAAGGGAAAACAGAGGTTGACGAGATTGCCATGACGGAGGAAACATGGAAGGGGTATTCGGACAAGATTGCAGTTATTGCAATTGCACAAAGAACTGACTACATCAAGCCAGAACTGTACAAAATTGTCTTTCACTGTCGTTATGGGTCATGATAAGTTGTTTGAACTTCCTACATGAGTTCCCTTATGATCGGTGCAGCCTCTACAATGCCGGTGAAACTCGTCTAACGATACGCACGGGCCAATCTTTGAGCCTTTATAACTCCCTAACTAGGCCGTTTTCCGACCTAGTAGTGCCACACACGCGCGTTCCTCAAATTCATACTGTGGAGAAATCTCAGAAACCATTTTTATCGTGAGCTGTGGGAGACGCAAAACGAGAACTGATCGATCTGGTCGCTGAACAAGCAGCTCTAAGAAATTTCACTCAAATCATTCGAGAGGCCTTCCGGCTTTTAGGGATAGTAGCGACGCTTATTCTTCATCTCTGTTTCCTCACTGCAATCTTGTTTGAGCACTTTTCATTCATCATGACACTAATTATAGGTCTTCGCTCTTGCGATGTGGTGATATTTCTCTATTTCACCGGGTCATTCTCTTTATATCATTGCACGCTGTCGACTTCCAAGTCCGTGAAGTTACTAAAAAGAGTGTCGCGCACAAATTATTGAGTCGCTCATCACAAGCGATCATTGAGTGCTTACACTGCAAAGCCCTTGTTGCCCTTACGTGAAGGGAATAGGATCCTCGAAAGTATGCGCTGTAGAACGGTTCTGCTGCCTTTCTTCGCGTTCACTAGGATTACTATGCCTAATTATAGCTTTATAATGGCTAACTTGAGTTATGTGTTCCAGTTGTGACCACGCTGATCGCCACAGCCAAATTCAGTGAGCTTCTCAAAACCAGAATTGCGTCAAGCTCTTATGTGGCTTTCATTGTCGTCTCACTGCAAACAATCATCTCTACTGAACTGCTATCGGTAAGAAATCTAATTCTTCACCCTGTTGGCCGTTGTTTTCCTTTTTGTTAAGCCCCCATTCCTTACTTTTACCGAGTAGTTCGAAAATTTAGGGAGAGGGAAGGGAGATGCATCGCTTTTATCCAACACGAAGGGCCAGAGTGCATGGGAAGGGTAGGTGACCCGACCTATACTTGGAAACGCTTCTAGGCGAAAGAATATGGTCCAAGCCAAGCCTCAGAGGAGGAGGAGCGGCAGGGTGACAAGATTACCTCGTGCGAAAAGCTAGGGTGGGGTATGAGTTGTAGATTCAATTGAATACTCTTTTCGGTACCCCTTCCCTACTAGAGCAAAGGTCAAAAACTGTGTGTTTTTGGCTAAGAGACGTTAATTAGCACAACTATGGGCTAACATCCTCATGTTGAAATTATGTTTAAAAAAATCGTAGGTCTTCCCACTACGTTGTCACTTCCAATCTTTGTAAGGGCAGACATAGCACGATGCCAGTACAGTTCGAAATCACAGTTTGAAGTACTCACTTCACATCATTCACTTCAATCCGCAGTACTCTCTCTACTCTATTGAGCTACCCACCAGATTACTGCCCTATATATAAGAAAGAAGTGTAGAATAGAGCCAGGTTTTCCATCATTACCTTCATTGTAATCATACCTTGCGTCTTGCGGACGGACATACCGACATACCAACAAACCGACACAACAGGTTACTGCTTTATAGTTAAGAGAGATAATACAGTCACTGAAGCGCATGATTTGTATTATAACACAGTTGAAGGCTTGGTTCAATAAACGAATGATGAAATGATGAAAACGGCTTATGAGATATCCCGCTAGAATACATACATCTGTGGCCCCTTGTATAACATAGGTGACGCTGTCATCGAACACGCCTAGATAGGGTGTTATAAAGGCTCAGTTACTGTCTCGTGTATACGGACAAGCTTCAAGCATTGTAGAGGCTGCATCATTCACAAAGAAACCCATGTAGGAGACTCGAGCAACTTGTCATGACCCATAGCGACAATGAAAGGCAACTATAGACAGCCCTGGCCTGATGTAATCAGGTGTTTGCGCGGTTGCAACAAATGAAGACTTGTTCAAATATCACTTCCATGTCATTTCCGTCATGGTAATCTCGTACAACCTCTATTTTCATCACTCTTAAATAGCCTTATTTTTCGCAGAATAGGCACGAAAATCTCGCTCTTTTCACCACCAGTGCACTATTCCCAACCAAAACTGCTCCGCCTTTCGACCTGGAAAGGGTACTTCAAAATTATCGTGAGCTGTGCTTTTAATGAGCTCAGTGAAGGCCATGCAAATGTGTAAGTCGAAATGCGCCGTCATAGTAGCCTTGTGATAGTTAGGTCTGAAGTTGTATTTTCATCATTGACCTGTTTAAGATAAAGGGTACGACTTGGCAAGTCACTGTCGCGACCACTCTTCTCTGAGTAACAACGGGTGCAAATGTTGGTCATACATTTCGGCAGTACACCACAAAGCCATCATTGCCACTTATTTTCTGGCACTCTATAAAGGGCGAAACTCACGAAATTCCACGATTGCCATCGCAGTGCGCACTTGACTTGGAAATTACGCACGCCAAAGAATCTTCCTGTTGTGTGTACCTAATTCTTTGAGTATTATTACTCCTAATGCCATGAAAGGAAGTACGACGCAGAACAACAATAGAAAGCTCTATTTGAATTAAAACTTGTCCTGTGTGAATGTCTTTGTGGGAAGCTCTTGCAAATTGGTTTGTTTTCAGCTCATTCGTAGTCCGAAAGCAAGCGAAGAGATGAAAACGAAAACGCAGCAATCGACCCAAGTCAAATCGATAGACAGCAAGGAGGATAAGGACAACACTAAAGTAGGTGTTTTTCTCAAGGCTCAATCCTTCGGAGGGTGAGGAGTTTCAATATCCATGAGGGCCGAGTTGAAATCTTTGTATTTCTATGTAGTAATCCAGTAAAGTTGCTGGTCACGTACTTGTCCATGTGGATACCTCTGTATACTGGTCCTTCCCTCATTCCGAACTCTTTTTGGTTACTCCTCACCTTTTCTTCATTATTTACCAATTATGGAGTGTTTGCAGTTTTACTATTTCAGTAGGCAGAAAAGCAGTTTTACCACAAGGTGTCGGACTACTTTATTGCTATGAATAGTCTGCGATGCCTTGCCCCTTTACTCTCTCCAAGCCTCAGGAATGCAGGCTTTTATCCCTTCGTAAACTAAGGTCTAGAAGTCGTTAATAAATTCCCCCAGAGGGATGCGCCTCGCATACGGATTCCATTCAGAATCGTAGTGGCGCTTGAATGCGTGTGTGGCCTATATACAGTGAATTGCGGAGACCAGATGCAAGTCAGTGCTTTTACCCTCCCAGACGAATCTAGTCCCAATTGGCCGACCCTGGAGGGATGGAAGGCTTGGTTAGCTTAGGCAGATATCGATCTGGTATTTGAACCTTAACCATGTGTGGTGACTGCGCCTCTTGCCACTTCACAATCTCCGCCTTAGCGCCTGTAAGGCTATTTAATTACATTTTCAGCCTGACTCTAAAGATATTGGGAGCGAAGAAGACATTGCTCATAAAGGAGGCTCTAAGGAGGATGTAAAAGTCTCATCGACGGAATTGATCCATTCTAAAGAAGGCAGTAAGGAAGGTGGAAAAGCCTCAACAAAGGAGTTGATCCATTCCAAAGAAGGCAGCAAAGAAATGTTGAAATTTCCAGCAAAAGAATACAGCAAGGACCACGTGAGCTTATAAGGGGGCTTCATAAAATGTTTTGAAGCCGAACCGGGGAAAAAGTTCATTTGTGCACTCATATCACTTATATTTTGGGAGTAAGTTAGCCGGCTTTGGATTAGAGGTAAATATAGATATAAGAGTACGGTCAATGACTAGATTATTAGTGAAAGGATTAGTCTGTTTCCGCAATACCAATGATTCTCTTCAAGTAATCAAAGAGAAATGAATAAATTGCATGGCATTCTCTTTTCAGACCACTTCCGACTATGAAGAGCACGAGCCGGTAAGATTTTGCCTGCTTCTTCACATCCTAAATATTAGATGGGCCGAATCCTGAAGTAAAATGAATAGGGTGATGCAAGGGATACTTTTTGCAGTTTCTTCGCTGGTCTTGACTGTGAATCAATTTGTAATAAAGACATACGAGTGTTCCTGTTCCTTTAGTCACCCTTGAAAAGCTAGCGCTACTAGCCCTAAAATAAGAAATACCCGAGATAATCCTGCTCTAGTCAATCCTCAGCTCCTTTCCTTTCTAGCTCTCGGAGAAGTTCTTGTGGGCTAACCATATTTTTAAAGCACTTGAAACTATTCGAATTGACCAACTCTCACTGTCTCTGTTTTTTTCTCGTCGTTAGTCTCCTAAAGTCTATTTAGTGTTTATAATTCTTAGGCTCCGATTATCCAGACGTATGTTGATATCGTGAGTAGTTTCGCTTTTACATTTTGAATTTCTTCAACTTTTCGCTATGAACTTATTTATTAATCACAACAGGGTGCTCAGTGGGGAGGAGGAGGAGGGGGGGGGGCACGCGGCGCGGCACTCTGCGCTCTCTCCAGCGAGGTAGTAGTAGGCCCAACTATGGGAATGAATCGTGAGGTTGTACTGATTTGTTTCGTGACTAAGAACAAACTAACTCTTGGCGCATGTTAATATGCATATTATGGATAGCCTTCTTCTGAGCCGACAAAACCTATTTTTCAAGAAGGGGAGGGGCTCCGGGGAAGGTGAACGGTTATCTCGTGCAAAAAGCTCAGATCAGATAAAAATGAACGTCCAATAGGTCCCCCTTTCTAAAATTAGGTAAAAATACACTAATGTAACGTAAAAAGCTATGAAAGGTTCCTAAACACCGTTACGGGCCCGACTACTCTTCCCTATCTACTATCTCGCTGGAGAGGGCGCAGGGTGCCGCGCCGCCTGCCGCGCCGCGTGGCCCCCCAACCTACCTAGCACCCACAACAGTTTCAACATTATTCCCAACGGTCAATTCCAAAATCTCTGCAAAATTTTGCACGTGCTTAGCATTTACTGTGCCCGATCTGTAAAGTTATGGGGTAAATTCGTTATCAAGCAACAGAGCAACAGTACGCTCTTGCTTCAGAGAAGCGGGTCTGGATTCAGCATCTGACCAGCGTGATAGGGAGCGGTGACGGTATGGCTTTCCTTGAGCAATTTGTAGTACAGCATTCCGTTTGAGTAATAGAAGCAGCAAAGAAACTCATTGGGGTGCAGGACGGATTTGATCTCCTCGCGAAAGCCAGACGGTGCGGTGCTTGTTAGGTCGTAAGGATCCAGCTTCCTTTCCAGTAACCAGACCCTCCAGGAACTCCTCGCGATGTGCGCGAAGAAAGAGGGACAGACAATTGGATGCCCGGGTGCAAAGCCTGTTATCGGTCGAGGCATGAGGTATACAACGAGTCAGCACCTTTCTGTAATCCAGGGCCTGAAGGCGACCGACGACTGTTGATTGGGCGCACCCAAGTCTTGTCGCCAGGCTGCGGTTGTTAACTTCCGGATCCTTTTTGACTTTCTCGAGAGTGTCGGAGTCGTCGACGGTGAGGGGGCGTCCAGACTGAGGCTTTGCTTCAAAGCCCGTGTCCCCTTTCTTGGAGCGAGCGATTCAGCGATGGACGGTAGCGGTGGAAGTTGTGTCCTCTTCCAATGCGCTGTTGATGTTCTGGGCTGTTGCTGTCGCTCCAGTGCCGTGGCGCCACTCATATAAGATGATGGCTCTAAGATTGTCTTTTGAAATTGGCATCGTGTTTAAACCCAGGTAGGCGCTCGCGCCAGTACATGCCCTTAGCGGGGAAGCTCCCAAAACGTTCTATATTATCACAGATCATTCATATAGGTCAAAAATCGAAAATCCCGCACTTTTCAAAAAACCTGATCAAGACTTTCGGTCAACCTAATAGTTCTAATCTTTCGCAAGCGATGAGACCGCGTTCCGCTTACTTACGCAAATCCGTGGAGAGGGTTTGCTTCAGGTTCCGAGTTGAGGAGGCGGGTGGTTCGATTTAACCGGTCGGGGTTCGATCTCATTAATCGTATTATTCATGATGAATATATCTCGCTTTTTATTGATTCCACAAACTTTTGGAAATCGCTAGAATCTTACTTCGGACCCAAAGCTCTTGAAGAGCCGCACATAACAAAATATTTTTAGGCACGCGAAATACAAATAGGCATAACAATGTTCTTCGTCATCGTGGCGGTTACGGTTGGATTACTGATTTCAAACTTAATAGCGTTCAAGTCAGCAGAGCTATAGTTTTCCTTGTGAATTCCTTTTTGATAGCCATTCTCAGCACAAATCGCTTAGACATTGATCTTAGGCAGAAAATAGGAAATAAACCTTGTTTCTTTCATTGCTAACAATTCCGCTGATCCTACGGCAGAAAACATGTTCAAAAAAGTTTCGTAGAGTTGAAATGCAGCATGGTTTTTTCGATTATGGATTTTTTCCAGTTAGCGTTACGCCACCTCTTTTATTTCAAGGAATCTTGTTTCACATAGCTGTATAAATGTGATTATTGCATTCGAGCTTCTATCATCTTGCTATCGATCGCTTGTAGATTGTTGGAAGTCCAAGTTTGTGAAGCCCTCAAAGACAAGTTGATTTGGGAGGGAGCGTTCATGTGCAATCACGGCGCTCTCGTATGCATGTGTATCGCTCATTCACTTGAGGTGGTGTGTCTCCAGATCCTAAAGACCTGAAATACGCCTTCTGATTCTTCCGCAGTCCTGCTCGGCCCGAACTAGTCGGGGGCGGAACTTACATGGGTCCGAGGATGCGCGCTGCACATTGCGCGGTGAAGTCTGTGGCGATTTGAACGACCCTAGCGTCTATCATTGGGGACCGAATCTGAAGTAGAGTAGATCAGTAGGATCGGCTAACCCCACCAAACTATTCTACTTCAAGTTTGTGTCCCGATGATAGGCGCCAGAGTTGTTTGAATCGCCACGAACTTCGCCGCGCAATTTGCCGCGCGCACCCTCGGAGGCTCGTATGTACCCATACCTGAGCTAGTCATATATTGATTCCTCGCAGAGACGCAGAACATTTATATTAGGGTCAACGATCGGGAATCTTCAAGAACAGCTCATTTTTCATGCTTATGGTCTTTGTCAAATGCACGGTGTCGCTATAAAAAGGATGTGGGTTCATCGGCTGCCATCGATATGTGTATGTTGTCAGTTTCAATTGTGGTACGATTTACGTAAGTCGCGTTGGGCTCTAGCGAGGAACCTCATTGTAGCTGTGAGCGAAGCGGCCTCATTATAAGAAATCGGAAAATTTGTTTATTTACTACTTGTTGTGGTTAATTTCTAATGCTATAGAAACGCGAAGTTTGCGGCAAAATCAATTGGATGTCGTTGTATCGCTCGTGAAGTCACTGACTCAAAAGCGGGTTTCAAACGAGAGCGTAAAATTTTCAGAAAAAAAAACTCGATTTCTCGAATTAGGCTGTGAACAATTTCACTATACTATTTTGAGGAGGAGATGCTCGCTTGGCGCAGCCTCTTGCATCGCTCCACTAATTTAACGAGGTTTCTGAGCTTGACAACTCGCCCAGGCGATCCACCCTCCTGATCATGCTAATCGGCCAACCCACAGCTCATGCATCTGACATACTTCCGATCGATGGCGTCACTACTGTTAGATACCAAATTACGGACCAACTCGTATTCTGTCTGTTTGCATCAATTAGCATGGTCAGGAGATTGCATGAGTGAGTTGTCTAGCTCAAAATCCGCATCGGATAGGCTGCGTGATGAGAGGGGCCGCGCCGAACGACGTACACCGTTCTGATGATGGGGTGCCAAACTGAAATGAACTGAACTGTCAACTGCCGCGCTTTATCTCATACCTCCTCCTGTCTATAATCCTATGCATGGCTGGCCATTCGTTTCAATTTTGCGATGGGGTTTGTTCATACTCTCAAGTTGGGTCAAAGACTTCTGGGTGCAGGTCGACAAGCTCATTCCGATGGTTTCAAAAAAGTCGATTGATAATGCATATACAACAAAGTGTAGTTAACTGTTTTTTTTTGTAAATATCACACGGGATAGGGCGTAGGTGGTGTAGTGGGAAGTGGCGCACTGCATTGCACGCAAGGTATCGGGTTCGAGTCCCCGATATCCGGTAACAGCCTAGGCCAACCAAGCCTTCATCCCTCCAGGGTCGGTTAATTGGTACCAGACTCGTCTGGGAGGATAACAGCACTGACTGTACATCGGCTGGTCACCACAAGCCATTGTATAGGCCACATACGCATTCAATCAACCACTACGGTTCTAAATGGAAGTCNATTGATTAACGCCAAAAGACTTTATCCTTTTATCCTACTTTATCACGCAAGGTTCACTAATATATAATAACTTGATCGATCTTTTTTCATTTTACAAGGGCGTTAATCAATCCCGTTCGAGGGGCGCGCCCCCGCATTTGACATTCCCACAAAGTTGATGAGTTATGGACAAAACTGCGACCTCGAATGAGACTCGAACCAGTACTTTCGCTACTTGAGCACCGTGCTCTTACCAATTACACTACTGAGACCCCGCTTGCCCGGACTTTTTTTCCAAAATCTCCATGCGGAGGACCTTTTTTGAAGTTTTGCCAAGCAGTCGCAGAAAGTGCTCGCTCTTGATGGATGTAATCTTGTAAGTTGAAAAAAGACCTTTGCTAGAGAGTCTAAGGAATTGTGAAAGTGTGGGAGTGCAACGCAGCAGTGCATATGAGGTGTCCAGTAAGCTCAGCAATTACTCATTTTCTTTATCCCATGCCCGTAGAATATCTTCTTGTATGGTCTCAAACGCTCTGTGAACGAGCAGTGACAAACAGTAACACAGTGTACAGAAAGAGCAGAAGGTTGAGTTGTTTTGGGATGAGACCGCTCGGATACCTCGGAATCTCATGTTATAAATACTATTCCATTCACGATTTTAGAGCAGCAGAGGTCGACTTTTGTCCATAACCTTTCCGCTTTGATGCAGTATTTGGCAGCCTACGCCTATCTTCCACCTGTCCTCACCCCATAGGTACACACAATCAGTATCGATCTTATCAATGAACTGGCTTCGTGAATGAACAATGTCCAGTGCTCAAGCTTCACATCGTCGCCATGCATGCTGAGTGATCCCTGCAATGACTTATGACTTATCACTTCACGTTGTGTGTATATATTTATTCGGTAATACTGACATTTAGTGTTTTGTTTATTATGTCGTTCAATAGGCGTTGTCTGCCCATCCTCTTTTGGCTTGTCTCACAACCACTTCATGGTATACCTTTCTCTGCTGTCTTTTTGAAGTGCGAAGCTGAAGTAAATCAAAAAATGATCTGCACTGATGACTGTCACCCGTCAAAAAAAAGGATGGAGGGGTAAAAAGGAATTCCTGTTCGAGTTCTTTCCTACCCGCTGAGAAAAAAATTGAAAAATCGCGAGAAGGCTGAGTATGGTGGAAATGCTGAAAGTTGACGGAAAACTGAAGCCAAGCCTCTTATACGTAACACGTGACCCTATTCCACAAATGCTCAGGTCTTAGCGAAACTTCTGTGCGTGTAAAGCTCGGAAGAAGTCATTCTACTATAATCATTCCCTCTGCGCATTTCTTTGCTCTATTCTTTCACAAACAAGTTACCGTTAAGAGCAACGTAAGGTTGAGATACTAAGCGAGAAGGAAGGGAAGGGAAAGAGCTGCGAACGGGGGGAGGGGGTAAGCTGACATGTTGAGCAAAGCGATTTCATCCCAATGGACATCACATTAGATACGCCGAACAGATGAAATGGTACTAATCTCTTGTTAGACTCAGGCCTGGGTTAGGAGAAGTCCCTCCCTAGAGCTATGTCTAAGCCTAAGCTTAGGCTTTAATCCAAGCCCAAGCCTTACATCGATTTTTGTCTTCTGAATTAATCTAATTATTCCACAAAGCACAGCTCTTGCACCAGTTCTCAGCTTCCCCATCAACTTTCAGCTTTCTTTTCAATTCGATCGACTTCTTGGACCATTTAAAATTCCGCTGTGTGCTCGTCCAACAGGTACTCCATAAATCACCGTATTCTTGTTCGACGTCTTCGCCGTATTCTCCTTCTGCTTCTCAGAAAACACGGTAAAAGACGCTGTTTTCCCTTGGTTTTCTAAACTCGGAAAAGATAACATGCCACTCCTAATTTCCACAGATCTGAACTACCGATCGTGACGATACTGAACCACATGATTGTTCACTGCGCTCTGGAACCACATCTTCCTTAGATAAAGTCTATCACATGAGGTACATCACAAATCAGTCGACTACTTGGACCATTTGAAATTAAACTGTGCGCTCGCCCAACAGGTGCTCTATAATTAAGCTGAATTGATGTCACTTGAAAGATCCAAGTATAGAAGCCCAAGTTGCACCCAAAACTGCGAGTGATTTTGATAAAATGATGATCGACCTCGTAGGCCAAACATCTTCGACATGCGGTCACAAAAGTTCGTGACATGCCACACTCACGATTGGAGCTTTTACGTTCTAATAATAGAAAAAAGTTTCGTTAGGCGTTCGCACCTTCAGCTCACCGGACTAGAGTCAGCAACCAATATCTGCTTCGACCCATCCTAAGCAGGCTGTATGATGGCCGGAGGTCATCGATTCATCTGAACCAAAGCCGGCCAGAACGGTGACCGCCGAACACCCCGACCACCGGGCGAGCCCGAGCACCGTACCCTGTACTGGTCGTGTGCTCCGTGAGAATCATTTATAAAGAGAGGTTAGGAGACCCCCTACACCTAATTCCCCTAAGGCAATCTTCTCTCGTCTAATCTCTCTCACTTAATGAATTTCACTAGTTCCAGAGCAGTGAGAGGTACGGTACTCATGATGAATAAACACCCTTGAGGACCTCGGCTCAACGTCCGAGTCCACACTCCATATTACTGGACTCAGACGGTGAGCCGAGGCCCCGCCCCTTCACAACAGCTCAACCGANAGCACAAACACCCACCGACCGAGAGCTTGTCGCAATGGAACGCCACTCGACTGAATTTTGATCCGAGCTCAGTGGGTTGAACGACAGCCACGCGACGCCTTCTTTACACCTTCTCAGGGTGCTTTGTGTGAACAGAGACCTCTATATTCTTTCCTTGAAAAACACTTCATTCTGCCATAAAGGCAAAACAAGAAATTGCACGGAACAAGTTCGTACATAAATGAATGATACACGAATTGAGACAACTTACTCAGACTTCGTTATCAAATCAGAGATTTTCGCCAAGAGGCCAGCATAGAACGCGAAACCCCCAAGAAGCGATTATTTTGTTGTACAGATTTTATTTTCTTGTTATATGAACTCGTGTTGTATGATTCATATACTTATTCCTGTTGAAAGCTGTTGTAATAAAGATTTGTTAGAATCTTTGTAAAATAGCTTGTATCATTGAAGACAATACCGAAAATTGAATTCACGCAACGAAAAATACTTGGAAAAAAGCAGAGGATTTAAGGATAATGCTGTTGTCGGGCGCTGTGTGAATGGGTATGGGAAATTGATAAACAATAAAACGTTTTTTCTGCGAATTTATTGTGCTTGCCCCCAACGCCATTTACAACAGACGAAGATGGAGAAATTCGTGTACTGTCCGCTCGCTAAAAAACTGTGCATTTGTGATCCAACGGTTAGTGGATTAGGTTACCAGAGATGTGATGAAGGGATCGCGCCCCGAGCTTTTCGAAGTTTTAAAAGGAGAAGCTTGAAATAGGTGAAAAAGCTGGAACTTGATGGAAAAGCTAGAACTCGGACAAGAAGCTAGAAAAGCAAAGGAAGGAAGTGGTAAAATCGATGTAAAAGCTGCAAATTAGGAAAGGTGCAGTGGAAGAAAAACCTAAAATTCGTGTTTTTAAAGCCTGTAATTTGGGGTAATTTGTAATATGTGTGGGAGAGAAACTGAATTTAGGTTGTAGAAGAAGCTCCGTTTTGTAAAGGGATAAGAGGAAGTCACCAACAGAAGGCCAGAACAAACTCGCAAAATGACCAAAAAGTAGTGCAAAATGGCAAAGTTTGTAAACAATGTGATCAGTGTACAGAATTGCGTGCACAGAGTTCGCCACCTCGTCGCATTCTTCGGCCTAGGCTTAGGCTGAAGCTTCGTCTTAGGCCTAGGCTTCGGCTTAGGCTTCTGGCCTAGGCTTATGCTTTGTCTTCGACTTCACCTTAGACTTCGGCCTAGGCTGATGCTTAGGCTTAGGCTTAGGCTTCGGCATCAGCTTAAACTTCGACCTAGGCTTAGGCTAAGTCTTCGACTTCAGCTTAGGCTTCGACTTCAGCTTAGGCTTCGTCCTAGGTTTAGGCTTAGGCTTCGGCTTCAGCATAGACTTCGGCTTGGACTTCGGCTTAGGCTTCGGCTTCAGCTTAGACTTCGACCTAGGCTTATGCTTAGGCTTCGGTCTAGGCCTAGGCTTAGGCTTAGGCTTCGGCTTATGCTTAGGCTTCGACNGGATGCTCTCTGCACATGTTGTAGAGAGACCTCTTTTCTCCTTGAAAGGCACTGTTCTGCCAAAAAATTAAATCTTAAAACTTTATGAAAAAAAAACACGGAACAAATTCACTCATCAATGAATGACACACTAATTAAGACTACTCATTCTATCTTCATTAGAAATTCAGGGATTTTCGCCAAGACACCAGCACGGTAAAATCGTGAAAACGAAGCCTCTAATAAGCAATCATTTGTTTGTACAAATTTCATGTTCCTGTCCTATGAACTCATTGTATGATTGATTTACTTCTACTTGTCTGTTTGTTGTAATAAAGGTTCTCTTGCTGTTATCCTTGTAAAGTAGCTTGTATCATTCATGGAAATATCGAAATTGAGTTCGTGCAACGAAAAGTTGTTGAAAACGATACCTACCACACTGGGGAGAACTCAAAGGTGTGTTGTTCGATCAACAAATATGTGCAGATATGGTCAAATGGTTAGTGGAATAGATTACGAGAAACTGAATGAAGGGATCGATTCTCAAGTTTTCTGAAATATTGGAACGTAAATTCGACAGTAACTCGGTTCCAGAGAAGTGAGAGAACTAGAGATGGTCGCGACACGCAGAAATCATTCAAATGTCCCTCCCGGAGAAAGATTGGATGTGAGCAAACCTCACAAAATACGATACTTGAATTGATGGAGACACCGTTATCACATTCCTGAAGAAGCCTAAGCCTAAG